TATTAATTGATCTTTAGACAGAACTGGAGATAACCAAAATTTATACAGTGTGTAACTTGGCAAAAAAAAAAGGGGGGGGGGGTTTCCTTGGTGAATGGGGAAAAAAAAAGCACCTTTGAAAACAACTGGATGAGTTTTTACGCTGGCTGACTTATAAAAATGCAGCTCACATAAACCTGTACTGGGTGAATGTAATAGTTTGTCAGGTTTTTTCATTATTATGTATAATGGTTAATATTTTTCTATTAAAGAAAAGTGAAGAATTTATAAGTAAATAGTAGGATTTGTTTATTTTATTTTACTATATAAAATTCATAAATTACCTGTGTGTACTAAGTCAAGATTAGGTTTTCAATTAAAGTAGGTATGGAGTTTTTGTGTAGCTACTGATACTTGAAGAAGTCAGTTAGGGAAATCCAAAACTCTTGTATTTATCACTAAAATAATTGCTAAAATGAAGTGCCATGAAGTGCCTTTAAAGATAGTAATACTAATAGTACTAACCTTGATTGCTGGAAAGTTGCCAGCTCTTCGTCATCCTACAGAAATACATTATACTTGAACTGAGAAAACATGCAATTGTCCCTCCCCCTTCTTATTCCCACAAACTGGAACAGTATTATGTTAGCATGAGTTGTGCTGAGCCGAATCCAATCTGGAATTAAGAATGCTCCAGGGCATTTTTAATAAACTGTCATTCATTTGAACTCTAACCTTCTTTAATTTGCAGAATCTGGTAACACAGATGTATATTTCAGCCACATTCATTTCTTTTTCTCCTCTTATCTTACTGTGAAACACTGCTGATTGGACTTGAAAATGTGAAGCTGCAGAAGTAGAAAGTGTTCATTTAAAATAGACTCAAAACTAAGAAAGAATTACAGTAGTTTGGTTTGCTGGTTTTCTGCCATTTTGAAATGTAAACTTAATTCTAGTAGTGATTTTAATAAAATCCTTGAAATGCTGAGGTCAGTTAGGCTTTCTGAAAGTATGAAAAAAAAATGGCTTTTATTAGAAAATGCATAGGATAAAACGTAGCTGTTGTCTTATAAAGGGGAAGAAAACCTAGTTAATGGATTCAGGGCATACAGTACTTACTAGCAAAGAACTTTGTATTTCATGAAGTTCCACAGCAAACTCTTTCAAAACATTAATTCTTATTAATTCTTCAGCTGGTATCTAAAATGGTGAAGTCTGTGGTTAGAAGTAGTTAGGCTAATAGATACAGTGGGGAAAAAATGAGCAAGCTTTCAGACACTGTTTTGCCAGGCTGGGTCAGGAGCTGCGCCTCAGCAGCCTCAAGGGGGTTTGGAGATGTTAACTTCAGCCTTCCCCAAAGGTCTCATTGCAAGGCAGAGGTGCTGCAGTTTTTGTGGCTGTGCTGGCATCCCTGGCCCTGGAAGAACATCAACATCGCTTGCATAGTGACAATGCCTGCCCCATGACAAAGCTTCGGCACGTAAAGGCATTTAAAATGCTGCTTGGATTTTAGAATGTGTTACTGATCAACAACAATTACCTTGACAGACTTTTCTGTATTTCTGTATAAATAAAGGTCTTGAGGATGCATGTGTAATAATTAAGGTAGAATAGATGCTTCAGTCTGGGAGGAGAATGGCTCGATGAGATGGTACAGGTTACAAATGCGGTCATGAATACAAACATTATCTTAATCCTTTTTGCAGTGGTAAGAAAAGTGTGTAAATGTGTTACGTGGTCATTATGAACTGCTATGTCAATAGAGGACTCAGTTCAATATCTGGAGAGTGGAAAAACTAAAAAGAAACTGGAAGGCAGGGGCCATACCAGTGCTTTGAAGAGGGAGGGACTCCTGGACGCACATTATTCTCTAGATGAAGTGTCCCTAAATGCAGCAGAACAAGCATTTGCCATAGGTCAGAAAGCTAAAATTATGCACTAGTAGTACTGGATTTGCTTCCATTTCTTACAGTAGGACTAAGGTAGTAAATCAACATTAACCCTTAATTTTTTTTCTGCTATCGTTTTAATTCTAGTATCGAAGAAGTGAACATGAGCTTACACTAAGAATTTGGTTTGGTTTACAATGCTTTTTTCCCCCTAGACTTTTATGTCTAGATAATACTGCCTTCGGTGTTTAATTTTCCATTGTACTATATCTTCTATAGCTATATAATAAATGTGCTAAGATAATTGTGTGTGCAACTTCACTATTCACACATTTACATTTGATAGTAATTGATTAAAAAAAAAAATCAGTTTCTTCTGCACATGCCTGCCAGTTGAATTCTGCTGTAGGTGTGGTGAGACAGTTAACTAGGAAAACATACAACTCTGAACTTGGGTCATACTCAAAAAATGAAGGAAGAACTAGCTGGCAAATACTGTGTTGAAAGTGTAAATGAAGGTATAACTTACAAGTCTATGCGTGTTAACGATTTGTGGTTTGAAAAAGTTTTCATTTTTAAAGGTTTTTTTCCCCCCTCTCTCTTAAACTGTGATCTCTTTTGTCTGGTAATATAAGGGTATGTTATTAATATATATTAACAAATCCACAGCTTTGTTTTCCACAAGTCTTTAATTCCCTTAAATGTTTTAAAACTTGACTGATGTGATATATCAGAACTTAGGTGAGCATTCAGTCAGTCAACGGGATAGGTACTAAATTCAGCTGAACCTGCAGGAAAAAGAGGGCAATGATCCTAAAGATATGCAAGTGCTACTTTTCTGCCTTTTAATGTTCTCATCTGCCAAAAAAATCTGCAACTGTGGAGTGACTTGGTGTTTAACAGTACTGTCTCAAAGCAAGACTCTGTATGAATGAATGACTTCACAGTCTTGAATCCTTACTACTGTTTCCATTAATGTATGTTGCCTGGAGTTAACAAACAGGCTGGAGGCTGAGCAGAAACTATATGCACTTCTTAAAAAACAGAAGGACGAGCCTAAGAAATAACCCAAGAAAACATGGAGAAATATCATACATTTTAGTAGCTGAGGCCTTGTCCTTGTTGGAAACAGCATGGGTTTGTGTTCTTGTGCTAAAGCAGAAAATGAAGTATCTGATGTTATATTAGAAATTGAGTATATTTTTAAAGAAATATGATCTCTCCTTCTGTTTTTTTAGCTTTTTTTTTTTCCCTGGGATTTAAGTGCAAATCCAGCTTTTTTTTTTTTTTTTTTTAGTTCTCTTAAGTATGTTTTCTCTTTGCTGCTTCTACTGTGAAAGTTCACTAGACAGTAATTTTACAAAGATCTCTAAAGCCTTCATATTTCTTCATGGTTTGCTTTAGTGGAATCTTGCACCTGCACGGACTCTACTGCACAATTTGCACTCCTTGCTATTTCATTTATGTCAGTATTACACTGGTTTTGCTTTCTGAGTGGAAGGTTGAACATCAGTAGTTTCAGTGCTATTGGTAATTCTGACTCTGCATTTATGAAATATAGCTTCTTATGCACTGAAGGGTATCAGACATATTCTAGTATTACATTGATGTTATTAGTATTTGTAAAGATGTAGATGCAGCTGGTGTAGAAGGGGTAAGTAATCAGTATGTCCTTTTCAAACAGGATGTGAGTTGTCATTATAATTTGCTGAAGACTGTATTATTAATTTTGCTTTATTGAACAATTGAAACAAAAATATGTGGCTTACGAACACTGATTGCATGCTAGTAGGATTTGGATAACAACAACAGACAACAATTAAGCACAAACTTGGGTGAAAACATCTTATTTTCTCCATAGACTTATTGTCAGACTTCTCAATATACCAGCAAAAGTGAACATTTTTCAATGACTTGCATAACATGAACAACTAGAATATATCCTCTCTCCCATTTCATTTTATTTAGATGTTCTACCTGAAGTGTTGACTAATTTATAAAATGTTAATATTTGGACAGAGGAGGTGAGAAAGAAAATACAGGAAATGGGGCATTCATTATTTAAATCATTTATCTCATAAAACCAAATTAAGTCTGTTTTTACTTACAGATCTTAATGTGAACTGTGTCATTTGAACGGGGGAAATCATACTGGTGTCCTGGTTACCAGAGACACTGGTTACTGTGAATATAAGGATTCACCCTACAAGTAAATTTTCTACTGCCAGACAGGTGTCACGTGTAGCCTCCATTCTTTACTGTTTTTTTATGTGATAGACCATGTCATACACTTTTTTTACTTCTGAATTTGGTTTTCTGAAAAGATGATGGTTTTCTGTATTCATGCAATAAGCAATTTATCTTACATCTAGTTGTCATTTACCAATGCTAAAGAAAGAGTGGGACCACCCTAACTTGCCTATATTTCATACTTCAGAGATTCTCACAGTTGTCATGAGGAAGTCTGTTGTTATTAGAGCAGTAACAGACGTTTAAAGTTCAGAATCATGGAATAATTTGGGTTAGAAGGGACCAGTAGAAGCATTGCAGTCTAAACACCTGCTCAAAGCAGGGATAACTGTGAAGATGGATTAGATTCTCCAGGCTTCATTCAGTCAAGATCTGAAAATACTGAAGGATTGGAGAGTTTGCAGCTTCCCTGGGCAACCTGTTCTGCATAGAAGGGTGTGCATTTTTTGATGAAAAATACATGGTTTGTCATGACCAGTTTTATATTAAAATATGTATCTATACCTGCATCCAAAATTTCTGAAATTACTATTATGATGAATTACCACCACACTGAATTTAAATAATATAAATGGTGCAGAAATTATTCATAAATTGTGTCTGTCGCAGTGGCCCAGGTTAAATAGGTTTCTGGTGATCTGTGTTAGTTTTGTTTTGTATAAATATTGCTTATTACTCAATGGATTCATGGATAGTTTAAGATTTTTTGGTATTTAAAGACTACTTCTGTTAGTTTTTAAAATAGTTAAGATAGGAATGGAATTGAACAGCCATTTACTTAAAATAATTCCTTTTGTGTTTGGTGGTTTTTTTCTGGATTTATGTAGATTTAAGATTGACTTATTTTAAAGAAAATGGAGCTTAAAAAGTTCTCTCTCTTAGGTAGAAGAGCTGATGAATGCACTAGAAAAGACTAGACAAGAATTAGATTCTACCAAAGCCCGTCTAGCCTCAACACAGCAGTCTTTGGCTGAAAAAGAAGCACATCTGGCTAACCTGAGAATAGAACGAAGAAAACAGCTTGAAGAAATTCTAGAAATGAAGTAAGTGCATAGATTTCTCTGTTTTCTAGAGCATACTTATTAATTTTGTTTGAGCTCTGCGTATGGGAAGGACTACATGACTGCTATTGAATATAAATTAAATGTAAATTTTAATTTCAGGTTCTTTAATAAGATATACTAAACAAATTACTAGATATACATGTATTAGTTAACATCTTAGAAATAATTCAGATATTTCATTACACTAGTTTCATTTTTGAAATTGTTCACTGAAATATGCATATGACAAATGTTATAAAACTGCTGCATTACAACATAATATACTAAATGTGGCATTACTTTTTTTTATTAATAAGGTATTCTGAAAAACAGATTGTAGAAGCTAGATAAGACCCAGATATCCACTGACAGAATAATCATAATTCTGTGTTATAGTAATATACTAAAATAGTGTGTCTTCTCTCTGATAATTTATGATAATTTATTAATTGGCAGCATTGACCATAACTTCTATTTATCCTTTTTTTTTTTTTTTTTGATTTAATATTCAGGGGTTACAGTTTTTTGGCTGCTAGCTTCCAGTTAAATAGGCATAAACTGTGTGTTTAAGAACATTCATGATGATTTCCTATGCTTATATTATGTTCAAGTTCCAAACATAACTCTGCATTCTAGGCCCGTCTGGCTGACATTGCCAAGATCCATCTTAATTTACTGGCTACAGTCAGTTGTCAGTTTTAGATAACTTCTTCAGTTGTCATTACATGTTCCCATATACATTCAGTTCTTTAAGGAAGTTTAGAGTAAGAATGGCTAGCAGCTTTATCTTGTTCATTATCTGGCTTGTCTTTTTGAACTGGAAACTAGGTAAGTACACGTTAAATGAAAAGTAGTTTTATGGAAGGAGATAAACATTAAGTTATTCTTAACTTCATGCCAACGTGAAAAAAAAAAGATTGATTTTAAAGAATTCCAAAGTGTTAAGTTTGGAGGAAGATTTGCATGTTACTTTCTAAACGTGATTTTTTTTTTTCCCCCAAATGTCTATTGAAAATATTACTGTATTAGTTCTGGAGGAAATAATTTTGTTATGGTCATATTATTTTAGCAGTGCACACATAACTCATACTGACATTAATGGAAGTTACGCATACATGTTAACAGTAAAATGCAGCATGTGTTCAAATCCATCATTTTGCCTAATTGTCTTAATGCTTTGTGCTCTTTCTATATCTGAGTATAAAAGAAAAAAATCAATGCACTTATTATTTCTTGATAAGTGATAGTTTAAAAAAAATTCTGTATTCCATAGTGTGACATGTTAATGTCTTTTAAAAATGTATTTGTCATCCATAGAAATGTTTCAATTGGCCTGAACTTAAAAATTGGTAGTTAGAAGTATATCAACACTACTTTTTCCAGACATTGTTTTTGTTTTCTGGAAGTCCGCAAGAAGGAGCACAATGAATTGACAACTTCACAAGGCCGGCCTAGAAAAGCTTATTCATTTTGTAATATGAAGAGCTTGAGGGTAGGAGAAGTTTCTGCATTGTGATGTGGTGGGATTTTTTTTTGTGTGTTTCAGAAATGCCTATTTGTGGAGCATACTTTCATGACCACAAGGCATCCACAATGCTTTCATACAGATGCCCTTTCCTATATGGTAGTTCCTTCCAAAACTCATAAATCTGCTTGTAACAAAATTAGATAGCTGTATAGATAAATGACTATTTATGTAATATTAAAATTGCTTTATATATGCATGTGAAATAAATGCCTGTCCTTAGGGAAAATGGATTTTACTCTATGGGATAGATTATCTTTTTAGAAATGGTCAAAATAATTTTCCCTTTGAAAGAGATAGTTTGACCTGGAGAGCTAATAGTCATAAAAAAAAGTCTAATGGCATGTGAGGGAAAAGACAAAAAAATTATCATCACCTTTTTTGTTAGTTCACCTTTTAAATTATATGCATGTAATCTTCAAGCAGCAACCACTGAAGTTAAAAATAAAACAGAAAAAAAAACCAATCCACCCCCCCCAACTTTGTTATCAAAACTTGGGGGGTTCTTGGTTAAAACCTCTTAAATTAACTTTTTCTGGTGTTTACTCTACTTAGAAATGTGTTTATATACAAGATTAAAAAAAAATTCCTTGTGGTTTTGCATAAATTTGATGATCTTTCAGTGACTTAGATAAATGACAAACATTGCACTTAGCAGTGAGTGACAATGGGATTAATCCCCAAAAAGACTTGACTTGAAGATCTGTGAATTCTTAATTTTTGAGATTCAACTGTTAATTACTGAGTGTTTCCTTTAGCAATACACTCAGCGCTCTGAAACTTTCAGAGTATGCTGAACGAAATTCTTGCCAAGAGTTTGAAAGGTAATTTCCTTGACTGTGATAGAGTTCATGCCATCACCTGTGGGTATTGCTAAATCAGTTTTGTTGGAAGTGGCTTTGCCCTGAAATTCACTACAAATTTCCAGAATAATATGTATTTTCTCTTATGTGGATTAAATCAGATTACTTCAGTAATGAAGCATTAAAGATCTCATAGTAAAATAACCAGCTACTAGTCCTTTCATTCGCTAACAAAAATAGAACATTGCTGTGCTGTCCAAAAAAAATTTATTTTTAAATTAGATTTTGTAGTAAATTTTCCTACAGTGACAGTATAAAATTAAACATCCCTTCCTTTGTTTAAGACTGTCCACCATTTTTTTTTCACTGAAAATAAATTAATATTGCTTATCTATGTTTTTAGGTATGTTTACTTTATTCATTTAACAGCACCTGTGTATAGTCAAGGATGAAATATTTGTGGAAAGAAGTGGATAACATGTTTCTTCCACTGAGCATTCAGTCCCACCAGCTGCCACTCTTTGCAGAAGTGGGGAACACATACTGCACTTTTACCTGCTGGATTAGTGGTTCAGCTGCTTTGTCAAACAAGGAGAGGGCACTTGTATTTGCCACTAGATGCCAGTCTCAGGTGCAACACCAGGGTCTGGATCTGCTTGGTTTGACAGAGTATGAGCAGCTTCACAGAGTAAGCAGGAAGCTTGTCTTGTTGCAGGGAAGAGAATGTGTCTTGTCTGTTTGTCTGTCACCTGGTCTGACTGGTCCCCTCCTTTTAGTGCAGGAAATTCAAGCGTGGCTTCATAATGGCATTTTGAGGATATTGCAGGGATGAAGAGGGACTTTGAATGGATTCTGGAAGTTGGGATCACAGCCTAAGGTGTAAGATGTAAAACTAGAGAGTCACAGTCAGAGTTTGTAGGGAAGTTAAAATGCTTTATGAAGTACTTGTGGCAGATATATAAGGAAGTTTACCATTCATCTGGTTTTTTGCAGACATACCCCTTTTTTCCATCTATAAATTTTACTGGAGTAGAAGTTGGGGATTGCACATCTGTGCTGCAGCTCTGACAAGGGCTGTTGGACGTCCAGAGAATCTAGACATGTTTCCAGCACCTGGACAAGTCAGCTCATGTCCCTGCCTTACATTCTCCTGTTACTATTTCCATCCATCACCATCTCAGCCTGGCACTTGGGGAGGGAAAAGGAGAGGAACTCCACATGTTTTCCTTTATTTATGTCCTAATTACTCCACCCCAGAAGGTTCTGTCACCCACAGGGTAGTGGTTTCTTCCTCATTGCTGTGGGTACAGCTATGGTCCAAAGCTCTTCTGAAATCTCTATGTGAGTAGTAAATCCAGTGCATCTGGAACATTTCAGAGTAATTGTGTATGCAATTCACCTGTTCCGTGCATACACAGGCCAGAAGCATGACGCTCATTGACAGGAAAATCCCTGATGAAATTGTAGGGACTCTACTTGCATGTAGTCATGGAGTTAATTTCCTTCTTTGGAACAACAGAAAGGATGTGGAAAGTAATATAGCAAGGTAGGAGAAACTGGCAAGGTGATTTAAAGTTGGAAGTAGTCTCTGAAATTGCTTGGAACTCACTCTTTAAAACCACTTAAAATGATAGCTTCCCTATAGACACTGCCTGCTTTCTGTATCATGGCTAGGCAGTGCTTTCCCCCACCCCCTTCTTTTCAGAAAGGAAAGCAAGAAGGTAGATAACCATTTCTCTTGCCTACATTGGAAATGGAGATGTTTAACTAAAAGATTTGGGCAAAGATGCTTAATTTATGCTCCTTTTTTAAATGCTAATATATTCTAAAGAGAGCCAGCACCTACCTTCAGGATAGTTCTAGGCTAAATAAGTAGTAATGGATACAATAAAGGATACTCTCTGAATTGCAGTTTAAACAAATACAAAAGGATCAGGTTTCTTAGATTATTAATAAATTATTATTTTGAAATTAGGATAATTTTAAAATACTTTTTTCAAATCTAATACAGTCTATATTTTGAGAGAGATAGCTATGGTAATTTCTCTAATGTGAATTCTTGAATATATCTTTACTTAATAGGTTAGATAACAGCCTAGTGTATAAATAGCTGTGGAGAAAAAAATAATTTTCAGAAAGCAGTTTACTGTTTTTTGTAATTTTATTAGAGGGATTATTTTCACTTGTTTCAACTGTGGTAATGTATACTGTAAACCTGTTCAGTGAATGGCTAGCAAGCTGATTGTCTCAAAAATGGTACTATTTCAAATGTAGAACACTAGACTGTTTTTTAGTAACCTATGGACTGCTTCCATTTAATTGTAGGATTCATGCTGAGAGTGTAGAGAGTCATATCCCAAGTTAAATACAAACAAAACAGCAGGATGTTGATACAACTGTGACTTCCATAGGAAGTAGTTAGAATGGTAATGTGGTCTCCTTCTAACTTGGGTGGAAAGTCTCCTGTGACTGCTTTTGCCCCACAGACCTGTAACACAGCATGCCTTGACTAACATTTTTGACACCAACTTGCAAACACCATAAAGATTAGAGAAACCCAAATGAAGGCTTTGTTCTCTGGAACAGAAGCTTTCTTCACTAAAATGAAGAGATGTTTTTCTTTTGTAAACAACGAAGGGGCACAAAGCAATAAAATGTTTCTCTCTGTGAGA